ATCTATCTATCTATCTATCTATCTATCTATCTATCTACCTACCTACCTACCTACCTATCTACGTATCATCTATCCATCTATCTGTCATTTATTGCACTGAATCCATTTAGTAGTACTCCTGTGTTTAGAGCTGCCCACTCGAAATTACCTCTCAGGGAGCTAGTTCCCAGAGAAAACTGATTCTCCCTCCCTCAGAATTCATTGATTGCCTGACACTCTGTATCTTGAAGTGGGACCTCATGACATTTCCTCCATCCACCTTGGCATGTCAACCGGTTTTGTCCTTCTGCAGACCTTGTTAGACTACCATACTATGGAGATGTCATTGGTGGAGTTTCCCTGCCACCTACAATGCATTAGCTTGACCAGATGTCTTGTCCCTCTGGCTCTTGCAAGCCTTCCGCCCCCTCTTTGAGCCTTAGGTGTAGAGGTGGCATTGAAGATGTATCACTTAGGGCTGGGCACCTCACAGTACACATTTTTTTAAACAGGATTTTATGTATCTCAGGTTGGTTTTGCACTCACTCTATAGCCAAGGATGAGCCTGAACTTCTGACAGAGTCAAAGATGATCTTGAACGTGTGATTCTCCTGCCTCCACCTTCTGAGAGCTGGGACTGTGGGTGAGCATCACCTGGTTTTCTGTGGTAAGGGGCACCGTTGAGCCCTTTGTAATGCTAAGCAAGCACTCTACCAACTGTGCCACATCCCCAGCCCCTCGTAGGTTGTCTCGCATTCTCCATTTTACATCCGAGCAACTGAGGTTCAAAAAAGTTAGGACACGATAGGACTGAGGGTTCTGAATGGAGACCTGGTGGGAGAATGGGGTCTTCCCCAACACACAGTGGAGTTGGCGAGAACAAAGGAAACAGGAGACTGTAGAAGACTGCCCCCAGTCAACCTGTGAGCTCTGATTTAGTTTCAGGAAAACAGTATCGTTTGTCCCAATTAAATTAATGTTGTTAATTTGGAGTTTATTGGTTTTGCAGTTTGTTTTTATTTCATTTATAAGTTTCTTTTAGCTTTATGGTTATAAAAGAGTTCTACATATAATGGACATGTACTTAATTTTATGTTTGTACATATTTAACTAACCTTATACTAAATATAATTTAAGAGTCAACAGAGAGAGACCACATTTTTCCTTTAAGTAGAGGCTGCAGGTGATTCAAGTCCGGAGAGACAGGACTCACAGGGGTGCTCATCATGGCCTTGTACTGGATCTTGGCTGCCTGGAGGTCTTGGGGATGGAGGGAAGGAGGGAAGGGGGAGGGGGGAGGTGAAGGAGAGTGGGGGAAATTGGGAGAGGAGGGAGAAAGGAAGGGAGGAGGGAGGAAGAGATGGAGGAGGGGAGAGAGGAGGGGAGAGGGAGAAAGGGAGGAAGAAGGGATAGGAGAAGCAGGTGGACAGGAGGATCCTTGGTGGAAAGGCTGGGAATTGAAGGGAACTGGAAGGTTCTCTTGGCCTTGGCTCCTTTCCTGGCTGCGGTTCTGTGTCCCTCTGCCTCAGTCCAGAAGCCCTCAGCTTTGTGACCCACATTCCCAGACAGTGGCACTGGCCTGACAGCAAAGATAAACATGCAGGAAAACCAGAGGTGGAAGGTTGTGCTAGAGGGGACAGGGATGCCCTCAAGGCTGTGTTCCTGGCTGACCCTGAACAGGTGCTTTGGGGTGAAAGGACAGCACTCTCACAGCTAGGTCTCCCTCCTCCTCACAGGAGCATGTTTAAGCCATCACTTATTCTATGCACACTCCCCCTGGAAGTTTGATACCCAGATGTGTTTCCAGCAGAAATGCTCATCAAAGACTTGTACACGAACATTCACTGCAACATTTTTTTTTATAATTTCCCTTAACTAGAAACAACTCAGGTGTATCAACTCTGGCATGTTCATACAATGGCCTATTATCGCCTAGGAGAAGGAAGGGGTCTCTGCTATAGATGGAGTTACAATAGAGGAACATGCAGACATAGTTTTGGGCGAGCAGCCAGACACAGAGGGGTCACACTGTGTGATTCCATTGATGCAAAGTTCTAAGGCAGGCAGGAAATCATTATGTTGGGGAGGAGGGGGAAGGCTTCGGTGACTGGGAGGAGGCAGATGGGATGGGACAGGGGAAGGCGTCCAGGGGCTAGTGATAGGACTTCTTCCTGGGATGTGCTGGGGATTAAATCCAGGGCCTTGTGCTTGCTAAGCGAGCTGGCGAGCCTGATGCTTTTCTGTACCATTCTTCAATTGCAGTGTCCCCCCACCCCGCCCCAACACACACACAAGATCTCATGTAGCCCAACCAAGTTAGCTTCAAACTGTCTACGCAGCAAAGGACGGCCTTGAACTTCTGGTCGTCCTGCTTTCATCTCCCAAATGCTGGGATTAGAGACAATGGCCATGGGGCTGGCTAATTACACTTTTTTCAAATGACTGAAATATATGAACTACAGGGTTATACTGTAACTAAGATCTATGTAGAGAACAAAACTCTCATTTGCTTTCCTGTGAAGTCCTGCATCGGGATTGGAGGCCTCCCAGACCTCAGTTACCTATTGGGGTGAGCATCCCCATGAATGAGATTGACTCTGGAGGGATCTTGAGGGCCCTGGGTTCCCCTCCTCACCCTGATTTAAGACTGAAACTCTGTTCTTAACTACTATGGAGGATTCATAATAAGGGCAGTTAGTACTGATGGGACAAAAGAGAAGATATTCTAGGGGGTGGCAGGGGACCTTGTGCTGATGTACCTATGCTAAGGGGCCTGTCACCGTCAGCTTGTACCTGTGGTCAGTGCTGTGCCCGTCTCTGACTTCCCAGGGCCTTGAGTATGTTTAGTGAGCATTCTACCACCGAGTCACACCCTCAGATCTTCTTAATTTTTGTTTGAGATCCTCCTGCTAAGCTGCCCAGGCTGTCCTTAAACTCAGGTTTCC